CGTCAAAGTAGATAGCCAGGCACTCGTTGTACCCTGCATGATCTATTCAACACAAAATACAAAACTCAGCACCCAATCATTTGTTGTAAAAAAAATGTAAAAAGACAGTCCTCATTATACGTAGTTTGTTAATAGTTTTGTTATGAATCTGGCTTGGTTGACACGTTTGCATTGTTTCACTTTGTGCCATGTCGGTGTGACCTACAGTTAGTTATATTCAATTTGACTCTGGTTGATAGTTGTTTCATTTGTAAGCATACCACATTTTCCTTTGTTTATACTTCTAGCATATAGAACAGTATAGAATTAGAAACGCTATCCAAACGTATTGATTTCATGTGCTCCCGTATTTTAAGCAGGTCCTTCTTCAAAAGTGGCATCCGTTGTATTTTTCATGGTTAGAACAAAGTCGGTAAGAAGTCTTTAAGGTCACAATTGAAAAATAAAAGATCACGGGATAGCGTTTATGAGGATGTGAGATCATAAGATCAGCGGTCAATGCTTCGGAACTGACATATTTTCTAATTTACTTAGCCTTGCATTAAAATGATCTCATATTTATCTGATTTTAGCTTCAGGAAGGAAGGAAGGAAATAGAACTAAGACTAGAAATATGTTGATATTTTAGTAAAATGCAATTCTGACCAAAGACGTTTTTGGCTATATAAACCCTTTCCGTTCTGTAGCTTCTAATACTGATTCATATTTTGGTCCCAGGTATTCATGAAGAAGAAATATAAATTGGGTGTGCAATGGTAAAGTTTACTATTATTTACGACCCTCAAAAGATTAAAGCTCCAAGTGTGTAAGAAAATGTTATGCAAGTTAGTCATAACCTTTGTATAATCGTTTTTGATATAAATACATGTTTTTTTCACATTTTGCAAATGTCTAGCATCATCATAAAATGTCCTTTCAAGAAGACACAAATGAAAGCATTCATGAAACAATCCGATACAAGCACAGAATAAGATAACTTCATGCGAACGATAACAAATTAAAAATATGAATATTTATCTGTTCAATACAACTATTTATTTTGGAAGTATAAACAACAAGTGTCAAAGCTGTAAACATCTTCGATATATAAGTAAAGCCCCTACCTAGTAGTCCGAACTTCTGTATTGAAATCAACAATCAGCAATATTATACCGTATTGGTACCTATAAAAGGCTCAGCATAATTAAATGTGAAACAATTCAAAAGAGAAAACCAACGGCCTGATTTATGCTTAAATCAGTAAACGAAATAGAAATATTGCTGAAAGTAATTACCGACAACTACTGAATTACAGGCTACTGACTTGGGAAACGACGATAACGAATGCATGCTTCGGGAATAAACATGCCTGTGAGCAGACAACCATCCCGTAGACTGGGTTCAGTGGTTTATACAGGAAAAGATAAGACAAAAACTGTAAAATCAGTGGGAAAAATTATTGACTCATCATACTTGAACAAACAAAAAATTCAAACGCAAAGTGCCAATCTAACAGTGCTCGCGATCGCAGTTACTGAAAGCTATTATTGATCCAATTTCATCTAAAAAATAAATCATTTCTCTGAACAAAAAATATACCTTTTTAATTGTTTTTATCACTCAATTTGGCCTATACGTGTGCCGCTATTTCAATTGCATCGACTTTGAAAAGTTTAAATGATTTTATCATACAATCCAATGGCAAATACCAAGGCTGAGGGCACAACGAGAACATAACGAGATATGAAAAAAATTAGAATAAGATTTGTTTTATTCAATCATTAATAAAAGTGAAATAGTGAAATACTAATTCGCTTTTAGTGTCCTCAATGCTCTTCAACTTCGTACTTTATTTAGCCTTTTTTAACTTTTTTTTTATTCGAGCGTCACTGATGAGTCTTTTTTAGACGAAAAGCGCGTCTGGTGCAAATACAAAATTTCAATCCTGGTATCTATGATGAGTTTATTTACAACCACTGGGTCGATGCCACTGCTGGTGGAGTTTTTGTTCCCCGAGAGTATCACCAGCCCAATAGTCAGCACTTCTGTGTTGACATGAATTATCATTGATATGGTCATAATTATAAATTAACTGTTTACAAAACTTTTAATTTTTGAAATACTAAGGCTTTTCTACCTTAGGAATAGATAACCTTAGCTGTATTTGGCAAAACTTTTAGGAATTTTTGGTCCTCAATGAGCTGCAACTTCGTGATTTATTTAGACCTTTTAACTTTTTGATTCGAGAGTCACTGATGAGTCTTTTGTAGACGAAACGCGCGTCTGGCGCAAATACAAAATGTCAATCCTTGTATCTATGATGAGTTTATTTAGCAGCCAGTTTGGTTTAATTTGTCAAAATAAGCTAAGAAACATCGCTGATGAATTATTCACTTGCAAGCGAATAATTCGACCTAATTTAATCCGTATTTATGTGACCTTCAGTTAAACCCCTTAGCTAGAGATGGGTTACGTATGAATTAGGCTTGTTCAGTTATAAGAAGGAAAATAATGTCAACATTGAAAGTAAAACAAGGGAAAATCATTTGATTGACTGATTCGATCCACAAAATCTCATTCTTATACAGGTAAAAACGATGATAAACATATATTGTTAACCTATAATATGTAATGAAACAAACCTAAAAAATCCAATTGCACGAGTTCGCTATCTGTTAATATCGAGTTATATGACCGTCGGCAGTCGTCGGATGTACCTCGATGGTTAATTAGATGGCGTCTAGACTAAAATTCACACGAAATGCCGATTCATATTATCGACCCTATGCATTGTAAATTGTTTGTTTTAGATTTTTTATAATTTAGATATACGTTTTAGTATGTTATTAATCAAATATGAGAATTTGAGTCAAATCGGTTACCATAAATTAAATTTGACAGCTAATGCCCCTTTAACAAAAGGAACAATTGAATATAATGGGATGACTAAGTTTCAGTGATTGATTACAGAAACGTTAATTCTAGAAAAAGAAACCACGCTTGATTGGCATTTTGGTGTCCCAGCAGTGGTTTGATTATGTTTTAACTACATTTTGATGTGTTTTTAAAACAAAGGCCATGTAATGAAGGCCGTCATTCTTTTCCAACTCATATATTCTATCGAAGGCAAACTATGCATAGTCTTTCAGATACAACTCTTTTTTCTTCAGTGTGACATTTGCAGGATTTTTTTACAAAATATTTAAAATGGGCATTCTTGTTTTCAAATTGCCTTTAACAGCTATGTAGAACGCTTAGTATTTTTTTCTTTTTTTTTAAATAACGTCAAATTCTGGGAAAATTGTTTCCTCTAAGTTTTTATTTGTTACTTTGATTCTTCTTAATCGATTTATGAGAATTTAACATCGGTAAAGTACTGCTGTTATGTACGTATAGTATCTAAACTCTGTAATTCAAATGCCTGTAGGTTTCAAGAATTTTTCTATTTTGACCTTTTGTACAGTAAATTTGAAATAGAATTCATTACAAAATTTGACAGACGTTATATAATAACATCTATTGGGAAATTCAGTAAAAATTACTTTCCATTCTGATTTAATTTTTGGGTACACTGAAATTATATTTTTTAAATCGACAAACATATTGGCCAACCAAAAAATATTTTACTCTTTTCCCTACATTTGTGGTAGACTTTAACTAATTTTTTACATCAGTTCACTAGTTTAAAGTGCTATCAAAATTCATAATTTAAAAGGAAACGCTACACATCTGTTCTAGAGATCTGAATAATATCAGATTTGGGGTAAACGTCAAAGAGACATCAATTCGACGACAGCTAACAAAATCATATAGAGGGTAACATACAATCAACATCACGAAGGACAAATATTTGCAACCGCAAAACTGCTTATATTATATTGTCGGGCTAATGTTTTGTAAAATATAAAGTTTTCACTAATCTACTGTGGCTACCAAAGTTGAATGAAAAAGTGACCATAGCTCATCATTAAGGTCAAGGTACAGGCGATGTTTACATTTCAAAAGTTTTCATGTGAATTTTATAAATTAAAACAAAATTACAGTGTTGATTGAGGGCGTCCGTGGGTTGTTTTTTTTATTTCAGACTAGCAATTCCTAATCAATATCATTTTACATAATCGCACAAAGAAAGACTTGACGTACTTTTAACTTAACAATTCAGTTATTTCATTGAAAATAAAAAATAACAATGAAAAAACTTTCGTGTTGACAGCTGTTCCTTTCATTTTGATTTAGTAAATATTAACAAATTACCATCTACATCCTGATTAAGCATTATCCTTTAAGTATAAATGAAAATGTTGAGAAAAAAACTCTAGAATTGCATAACTGGTTGAGTATACTTGTTTGTCTAGATGAAAGCCCGTATTGGACTACTTGTGTTTTGCTGCTGTGTGATTATTACCCTTTTCGAAGTAATTGGAAACAGTGAGTAAAGAACTGTTATGAGTTTTTCGTGAATGCTGAATTGCAAATTTTTTTGTGGAACCGACGGTTCTCTGGTATTTAACAAAGATGGCGGTAGACACCTGATCAACCTTAAATATCTATTTTTTTCAATTAATTGAGTGTTACGATAGAGCTCATACTAGTTTTTGTTCACTTTAAGTAATCTTGTATACAATAAAAGCTATGGAGGAATTGCAATTGAAAATAAAGATATTTTTCATTGATTCATCTTCTTTTTTTGTGTGTGTATATTAATTTCATTGTTTACCTGTTGAAATGAACCGCACGTTACAGTATTTTAGTATGACGTAATCTCTGAAGTATACAAAGAACATTACACAACGTTGTTTGATTTATTTTATAGTTATTTTGATATTTTTTCAGCGGGTTTGTTTAACTATGAACTCAAAGAATATGTCTCTCTTGATTTAATGAAAGATGATGTGTCGTGAATATATCTATGTTTTTCTTTGTTGTTCAAATAGTGAGATTCTTTCGTCTTGTTAGACTTATCTTGTAAATCTTGTATATATGTTTCTATGTAGCTTAATTCCCTTGCCCCAAGTTGTCTTCTTCCTCTTTTTATTTACACCATGTATAATACTTTTTCAGGCGAGGCAACAGAAGCAAAGGTAAAGTAAAACTTATTTCAAATAGATTTCATTTTGTTTTTACAAAGAAGAACAAGACGTAAATAGACAAAATATTGATCTATAAGGTCTGAAAAGTGAACTGCAATAGAAAATGAAATACAGTTTAACAGGCACTAAAAAATTATACCTTTTATATTGCATGCCTTATTTTGAACTAAGCGGTTGATTTATTTTCCCGTAATTATCATGTGGTATCAATAAAACCTCCAGAATGTATTTCTTTTCCATGAAAAATGACGAATTCATTAGTTACATAGAAAAATTAATCCGGTATCTAAGAAAAATGAAAACATAACAAATCTGCTATCAAGATGTGTACCAAAACGTACAAAAATATACAGTTTCCTGAATTGTAGCTCTACTTAATTTATATTGAAAGACAAAATAATGAAAAGAAAACTACTGAAAGAATTCAAATATCGAACAAATTCGTGTCCGAAAAACAATTATAATCTTCTTTTGCGTATACGTAAATTCGTGTAATTGTGTGTTGTGTATTAACTCTATTGATGTTTTGTTATATTTGAATTCTTGGATTATTTATTCTTTGAAAATATCTATGGTGTTCTTGTTGTTTTCCTTGTGAATTATTTTACATGCATTTGGTTGAGACATTTCAAATGCAATTTAGCACATAATTTATTATTTCAGCCTCAACAATGTAATGGTTCGAACGAATGTGGCTTTAACCAATGTTGTGCCAATAAAAATCTTAAAGGACGAAAAAGATGATCTCTTAGTTTTGCTGGAGTTTGTAAACCGTGTGGTCAATATGATGCAGGTATAGCGTTTCTTACGTATACATTTTTAAACGATGATGAGATAATAGTCTTGTATAAATTATTTGATGCTTCTGAAGTAAGATTGCTTTATTTTAGACGAAGCTTAAAATCCAATATTGGAAATGTTTATACATAATTACTATAAGAACAAAAAGCAGTGCAGTTATGGCATGGCCGAGTGATAACACATGAAAGTAAGTGTACCTCTGGTGCTGATCTTATCCAAGGGAAACTGATAAATAAGTTAAAAAACAAAGTGTGCTATTTTCCTTCAAATTGATTTTACTTCAAGCAAATAAACATACACAGTTTATTCATTCCATGCATTCCTGAACTTTTTAACTGACCTGAAACAAAGGCAAACATGTATACTGTGCTTGTCTTTGTTTCAAAGTCCTTTATATTCACTTTGATAGGACCTGCAATAATCTTCGATTTTTTTTCATAGCGAACATATGTTTTATTCTTTTATGTTAAATTATGATATAATCACAAAGCTCCGACACAAGTATAATATATTGAATAAACATTTATTCACCTTTAGAATATTACAGATCGAAATAAATTTTCTTTTGTTAACAGAAATTACAAAACATAAGCCTCCATATTAATATGTTTTTATTATTGTAGAATGTGCAGTGAAAAATCAAAATGCTAATGACAACGTGTTTCCGGGTTGGTGTCCATGTACTGCTCCTTTTAATTGTAATGGAACAGGAAATATTGAAAACCCGTTTGGTGAAAAAGGTGAGAAAATTTGTAACCTTTGTAGGATATATTAGACTCTAATTGGTAAGATTCTTCCCAAGAAACTTTTGTCTTTTTTATGTTAAAAAAAGACAAGTATGGAGATATGTTGAATACACCGCAGTTAGATAATTGTTTTGAATATAATGGCTGTCAACATATCAGATAGTTTAGAAGCATTTATGAAAACTGTTCGTCCTACATCCTGTAGATACTATAGCTATTTACATGAACTTATATTTGACTTTGCAAGTAGTCATGTTTTTTTACTGTTGACGTCATTAAATAACAGCCTTTGGATTGTACTGAGTGATAATTTAGTCTGGTAAACGTGAATTATATATGTTTAACTTGCTTTGAACTAGCTTTAAGTAAATGTGAGTATCCTTTAATCGACACTGAGAGTTGACTCTTTGTGTGTTTGTTTGTTTTTTTTTTTTGTTTGTTTGTTTTTTTTTATTGTCGTGCTTTGAAATGAGTTAAGCTATTTCCATCTAATTTTTACAGTCTGTTCTTATGTTGTGCTGTTACCCGACTCCTAGATTAGGGGAAGGTTGAACGCTCACACACATGGTTAACCCAACCACATTAAGATATATGCCTGTCCGAAGTCAGGAACAAGTGGTTGTCGTTGGATCCTGCCAGTTATTTTTTTTGTCTCTTTATTATTTGTTTTGTTATAAATCGAGCCATCAGCGTTCTCGGTTGAATTGTTTCATATTTCGTTTTTTTTTTTTCATATATATCTTTTGTATCCATTTAATATTTTTGTCCTGTCGGGATCTTTCATGGCTGACTATACGGTTTGTGCAATGCTCATTGTTAAAAGTCGAATGGTGATCTATTGTTGCTACCATGTCATGGGGACTCTGGTGGATAGTTGTCTCATTGGCAGTCATATCACATATCCTTATTATTATACTTTATAGAAAAATCCAGTCTTAGCAACAAGAACCAAAATCCGACGTTGATCTCAGCTGTTCTGGAAAGGTTTAAAAATCCTGCTACACTTGTGGCACCAGTTGTGGTGCTTATGGTTGTAACGCCTGCTACTAATGTGGTGATAAATCTAATTCTGTTATTTCATAATCGAGAAAATAGTACGATATATATATAGGAGCAACAACGAGGAATAAATGCCACCCTTCTCGGGATCAGTTTTTTCTTACTCCAAGCCAACCAGTTTTAAAAGTTTGTTCCTATCTCTTGATATAACATGCTTACATTAGACACATTAAATACCAGTTTAAGGTTTTGTTTTTGTTTAAATTGGAGGGTCAATATGAGATCTACTGTACCCGAGTTTAACATGCTACAACAACACTTTGGAGAAAGTTATATGAATGATATATATTTGTGATATAAAAAGAAATAATGATTTTTAGGTTGGCGATTTTGAGCTGAATCTGTTTTCCCAACCGGAACACCTGATCTCACCCCTAGTTTTTGTTAGCGTTCATGGTGCTCAGTCTTGTTTTCCATGTTGTGTTTTGTATACCGCTGTTTGTTTTTTTGGGGTCTTTTTCCTTTTTTTTTTATTTTGCCATGACGTTGTCAGTTTATTTTTCGACTTAGAAGTTTAAATGTCCTTTTGGTATCTTTCACCTTTCTTCCCGTACTTCATTTTCTTTCTACTTCAGAACCATGTACCGTTACTTCGTAGATTGTATTAGGGACAAATGACCGTTTGCAAATAACTGCATTAAATTTTAACATGTACGCCTTACTTTTCTTCTTTACTTATATGAAAATAAGGAGATGTGGTATGATAGCCAATGAGACAACTATCCACAAAAAGGCAAACGAATGAGGATGTACAAACTAAGATGTGTTTCACAATCATGTGTAATGTATTAAATGACCATAGATATTACATGTAAACATTTTAAAGATGACTATATGGATAGAGAGTACTAAACATGTCGTTTATTTAAAAGAAATATGTTAAATTTGGCAGCTCTTACATTATTTTCCTCAGTGCAAGAAGTTGGAAAGCCTGAATTGAATACGGCTTTCAAAGGATACGGAAAACAAAGTTAAACAATCTGACTCACTAACGTCTTGTGAACTTTTGAAACATAAAAACGTTTTATAAAAAAAAACCAAGTTCAAAGGTCAGTTCTAAAAGGGGAAGTCCATTAGCCGAAGTGTTTTTGGTAGATTAAAAATTAACGCTTTTTTATCTATTCTATTCAATTCAAATCAAGGGGCTATAAAGTGACCTCATGTCACGTTTTTTTTTTTCACAATTACAGATCCACGTATCTTATAAAGCTGATTACATAAGCAATACTTAAAAAATCATATTTATTAAGATAGTCATAAAGGTATTATAACCCGACATATTTTCGTAAGACTACTGCCAATATGAAAATGAAATATTTTTATTTTGTAGGGACATGTAGATGGTGAAAATTTGACCAACTGTTCCAGTACTTGTAAATATCAAATGAAATTGTGAAGAAACTTTTCTTTCAAATATTCAATATGCATGTATTTCCTTTAAACGAGATTTAGATTCTATAGATTGATAAATGACTTCTTAACTTTTAGTGGTAAATAGTTTATGTAAATTTTAGACGATAACATGGTAAATAGTCATTATGTTACAACTGAAACATAGAAAAACGCTGTGTAATGTAGACATGTATAGTCTTATCAAATACATTATATCTTGCAATATCAAATCTAAATTATATCACTTTATCTATTATGTCAGCCTGAACCATACAATGATTCAATATAATGCCGCTATAAACGATGATGTGTAAATGTTAAAGAATGGGAAAACCAATTTGTTTCGCTGGAGTTTGTTAATCTTTTGGACAAATGTATTCAGGCTTCGGCTGTTTTCTGCTCTTTGGTCGGGTTGTTGTCTCTTTGACACATTTCCCCATTTCCATTCTCAATTTTAGGTAACGCATTTCTTGCTTTCTTTTTCTAATAACGACGTAAAATAGACTTCTGGTTCATATATTTGTGATAGATATTGTTAGAGATGATAATATTGTGACAAGATTTCTAAACTGACCATTTGAAGCAAAACTTGTGGACGTTTAAAGATAAATGGCATACAGTGAGATGTGGACTGGACATGGAGGTAGGATTGGATACTTTATATACTGTTATATATATTGGAATGATTCACTATTAAACTTTACATTGATAGTCTTCTGAAATGCCTACAATTTGTTATCAGAGTAGTTTCGTACAGGGTAAAGGCATTTCATGTCTGAAAACATGCGCATATGATATGCTGGCAATTATTGAAGTCTTGTTTCCAAATTCTTTAAAAATAGAAACAGGTGGGGGTAGTAAATGTACTGTAAAAACAAAGTAAGAGTACATGCAGTGATTTCTTTCAGGCCATGATTGAGAAAAAGTGTTATTTAAGGTTTTTTCTATTTGAATAAATGTTAGTATAGGTTGCACTTTGTAAATGTAAAACCACGCCTCTTTTGGGGAGATATTTAATATTTATAGATATTTTGTTTTATGTACCTACTGGTTCCCAGACACCATCTCCATGTTTCATCTCATATTGATACAACTTGGGAACTTTACCAGTATAAATACTCATGGAAACCGGTCAAATTGAATTCTGACGAAGACTCAAAGTAAAGGGAGGGGAAGTACATAATTTTAGATTAAATTCAAACTATTAGAAGTTCGAGGCATATAAATGTTGAAAATATGCCGCACAGCCCTATGTGTTGGCCTTTGAAGTGTAGTGCATATGAACTTTCCATTCTGGGATATAATTATTTTTCCAAACTTCATAGTTAAAGTGACACTTTAAAGTCGTAAAAGGAGTTCCTATGGGAATATTTACAGAAGTGCAACCTACAAACTATTAAATAGCATATATGATTTATTCGAATCATTTATTCTGCATATACTAAAGGTATAGGAATGAAAGTGTACGAGACGTTGATATAATCCAACGTTCATGAGAACATTAGTCAATACACTTTTTTTTTTAAATAAAATCAAAACCAAATAAAATACTGACATGAGTGCAAACATGATTATTGATAGGTTGTTCTTATGCTGTACCGTTTCATTATTGTCCCAGGTTATGTAAGGGTTGGCGCCTTCAAACTAGTTTAAACCCGCCACATTCTGTGTGTGTCTGTCTCTCTCAAGTCAGGATCCTGTTCTTCAGTTGTTGTATATCATATTTGTTTTCGTTCATTATTTTGTACATAAATATGGCCTTTAGTTTTCTTGTTTGAATTGTTTTACATTTGTCATTTCGGGGCATGTATAGCTGACTATGCGGTATGGGTTTTACTCATTGTTGAAGGCCGTACGGTGACCTATAGTTGTTAATTTCTGTGGCATTTGTTCTCTTGTGTAGAGTTGTCTCATTGGAAATCATACCACATCTTCTTATTCTTATATATAACAAATTTAAAGGACGACTCGACTGGTATTTGCTTGTTTAAAAAAAAAGGCAAGATGAAAACTAATTTACTGCCATGGTCATTTGAAAAGAAAATTGAAATACTGAAAATAGAAAATATCGGTTATTCGTGTTAATTTGTCGAGACATTTTGCGGAAACTTCTAGTGATGTGTAAAGTTATGTAAAAATAATGCATATGCATATTATGTTCTTCTTTCATTCTATTTCGAAAGTTCAGAATCATAGTGTATCATAGCTATATATTTTTTCAACTTTAATGCATTCTGTACCTTGACATGAAATTTGAAGGTTTATTTCCTTTCTCAAATAAAATTGGGAAATACCGCATGCATTTCGAAAACAAATATATTATTTTTTACCTCCTAACTGATTTTGTTAAATGGTATTTTTTGCTGTAGTAACTTTATCAACATAGTTTGCATGTATTATTTTATAGGAGCTCAATTTTTAAAAAGGATACTACAGTGTCGGTGTTTATCGAAACAAAAAAAGGGGGCGGAACAGGTACCCGTTTGAAAATGTTTTAGCGTCGACTGCATATCTTCTTTAAAGTCCAGAATCATTCCG